AGGTATGCCTGCATCAGTACCTTGTTCAATAATAATATCAATCACCAGATAAAGAGGTACACGCCTCTCAATTGTTACAGTCCCCCAAAATGGTATAAATGAAGGCCTTGATACCTTGACCAAGGGAAAAAGGGAATAAACATCACTTGCCGTAACAAAACTCATTTCATATCACAAAATTACAATTATGCAGAACAACTCTTATATACCTTATAAACCACTTCAGTATGTGTAACATATAACCTGCGAGAAGACAAATCTTTTTGAAGCACATATCTCCTCATGGGCAGGTAAAGCAACATAAAAAGGCCAATTCCCCAAGCCAACACCAGTAGCAATGATATAGCAAGCCATATGACTGTGTCGTATTTAACGCTATTGCTTGCAAGCTCTTCAAAGGATGCTGAGTACAGTATCTGTTCCAAATAATCATCTTCTTCATCATCAACTAATTCAGACCCAGAGTCAGCTATCTGATCCTTAAATGACCTAGACTCCGATATGTGATCTGCGTGACCAATCAACATCTCTTCAACCACAAACTAGTAAAGAAAAAAGGTACACAAATAAAATAACATTAGCACAATAAGAACTACAAAACCTCATTATTCTAGTGCAACTACTTCAGACATCCATAAGGCTCATCTTTCAGAGTGAAATTAGAAACCTCGGATCTCAGAAGGCTAGCAAATTGAGATAAAAAAAAAGACATTTCCCACATTAAATATTCATGTTATTTCAACTGGATTAGACAAGGCAGGAAACTCTAAATGCCAAAAAACTGGGAAGCTTTTTCAAATGCCTTTATTCTCACATCTCTCAAAAAATACAAACAACTATCGTAGCTTTCCCTCACAACACACTATTAAACTCGAAATATAACTCCAAACAACGACCTAACTGGCAATCATAAAATCAGGACAGAAGAAATATAACAAACACCAACATCACAAACCATTTATCACATCCTAGAGAACACAAATAACAAAAAAGAAATATGGGTACCCATTTGCTTTAGACCCTACCGATAGAGAAGTTCTCAGAATTTGAAGGAAACAGACGAGATTGATGAAATCCAAGACAAAGGTGAAACCTTTACCTATACTTTGAGGAAAAGCGTTGAAATGATTTAACGGGTACGTGGGTGGAACCTGCAAGATGGTGATTTCAGTACTCTCTCGTGTACAGGGTTTGTCGTATGAGATGCAAGTGAAGTGAAGTGAAACTGAAACTGAAAAAAAGAACACCAAACGTTCAACTGACTGAAAATGTGATTGTCACTGGTTTCACGGAAAAGAAGCAAAATGAATTGCACTTGTTTTATTTTTTTTTTTATTTTTATTTTAAATAACACTTGTATATTAGAAAAATCAACAAGTATATTCTACGGGTGTTTCGAATAATAAGGTTTAATTTATCTTAAAGAAGAATATTAAATTAAAGATGCGTGTCTTAAAAGAATTTTTCATTACAACAAACTGTTTTGATAGGATTAAGGTTTTTAATTTAGAATTCACGACTCATAAGATCTTTAATTCCAACAATAAAAATATTTAATAATTACATTGATTTTTAAATTACAAAATTGTTAATGTAAATAAAATATTACAGCAATATAAGTTCTTATAACACTTTAAGATAAAAGTAGGGGATGATCAGAGAATTCCTTTTTATTTTTCTATATAGACATTTGTTCCTAATAGATATGCAATGAAAAAAATTAACACTGTAAATTTATATAAGTCCACCCATAATATTTTTTGGGATTATGTTTAGTTATCTTTTAAAAACTTTTAAGAGTTTCACTAATTAAATGTTAAATTACAACAATTATATTAATCACTCCTCACTTATTTTTATTTTACAATTTTTTTTAATTTTCGTTGAGACTAACTCATCAAGTATTATTTAGTGTCACTCCTTCAATCACCTATTGAATTGCAGAATTTTACTACAAGAAGATTGATAGACGATTTATATTTATTTACTGGAGAATTAATTCAATGAATAAAGAATATAAAGTACTGCAAGCATTATATATATATATATATATATATATATATTTATATATTAACTCTTTTATGGTGTGATGAACTAATTTAGTTAAAATATGAATTATAATCACGTTAAATAAGTATAACGCTTCCATGTGAAATCTACATATATGATATTATTTTTGATAATATATGATATACAATTTATATAAAAATAAATAATTGAGGATTGATTTGTTGTTTTTTAAGCTTAGCTTGTGCACGGATTGGTCCCAATGCGAGCCAGAATTTTGGAAGTATGCATTGGATTTCTCTATCTTCCCTCTTCTCAATTTCCATCGTTTCCCTCTCTTTGCCATTCATTTTTCACCAACTTGTTTCTCTCTCTAAGATCCCTTCCTTACCATTCTTTCCTTCTACCCTTATACCTGACCCCTTCAAGGTACACTCTATATCCACCATTCCACCCTTTCAATCATTTTTTTTTTTCATTTGATGTTATTTTTAGCAAAATTTATACGCAAGTTTGAATTTCGGGGTGATCTGGATTGGAAACACAGAAAGGAACCATAAGGGTATGAGATTCGATTGGGTGGATTTTGGTTTTGGAAACTGAGGTGGTTTTACTGATTTCTGAAGTATGCTTTTGTTGGGTGCTTCCTAATCAATCAGTGAATACTAATAAGTCTTTTAGAAAATAGTGTTGGCTTCTGATGAATGGTATGGATTATGGTTTTTCTTGTTTCCTCTAATTTGTTCTGTGATGGGTAAAATATAATTCTTTTTAAGAAAAATGGGATTTGTGACACTTTCCTTTTTATGTATATATATCAAACGTTTTGATGTCAAATGCATGATGGTTAATTCTTATTATTGATCATGTACGATTAAAAGTTTCATAGTCCAGGCAGCACCAAACTTTTTTAAATCCTATTCATGGTTTTTTTGCAGTATACCTAAATACCTTTTAATCTCGATAAGGTGGTGGGGATATGTTTTCTGTGAAATTATAACTTTATTTTTTGAGAAGTTTTGTCTTTAATGGGTGGTACTAATGTTACTTGTAAATTTGTAATATTATATGCACTAATGTGTATTGTTATCCATATGTCTCAGCTAATGTTTGATTTATTTTTCTTTCTTATTTGTGGTACTGTGTATAATAAGTGTCGGATAATATTTTTTTTTACCATTTTGCAGTTTAACTGATCATTTAGTTATCCTCTAAAGCTGTATGTTGCTGGTGATTTTTCTCTGCATTTGAGTTCTGAAACATGATGAGTTTTGTGAGTTGAACCTAACCAAGAAACATATGGATAAGAAAGAGCATATTGCAATTTTTACTACTGCTAGCCTTCCGTGGTTGACAGGAACAGCTGTGAACCCACTGTTTCGCGCTGTATATCTTTGGAAAAGTGAGGAAAGAGATGTTACCTTGGTGATCCCTTGGTTAACTTTGAAAGATCAAGGACTAGTATATCCCAACAATATCACATTTGCTTCACCCAAAGAACATGAGGAGTATATCTGTCAATGGCTGGAGGAAAGAGTTGGATTTAGTCCTGGTTTCAGCATACGGTTTTATCCAGGAAAGGTGATAATTTCTTTTTATGTAAAACTATTTGTTAATAGACTTGAACATCTATCAGCTTTTACTTTTAACAAGTAGTGATAATTTGTTCTATATTTCTAATGTAGTTTTCAATAGATAAAAGGAGCATTCTTGCTGTTGGAGATATTTCAGAAATTATCCCTGATGAAGTGGCAGATATTGCTGTGCTAGAGGAGCCTGAACACTTAACATGGTTTCACCATGGGAAAAGATGGAAGACTAAATTCAGGCTAGTGATAGGGATAATTCACACAAATTATTTGGAATACGTGAGGAGAGAGAATAATGGAACCTTGCAAGCCTTTTTGCTGAAACATTTAAACAATTGGGTTGTTGGTATATATTGTCACAAGGCAAGTTATTATACCCTTATAAAAAAATAGTATGTGTATTCAATGTTACCTTGTCATTCTGGCTTTTTCAATAAGTAAAGCTAGAAATTGGAAATTGTGTTAGTTTTCAATTTTTAGCTGCAAAGATAAATTGAGTTTTCCTCTTGTCATCAGCATTGGTAGCTAAGTTGATACTGTTCAATGCACGTTTCTGGTGGATATGATATTCAAACGAATATATATTGTCCACCTAATATATAAGTGTGTTGTTATGTGTGTGTATTGAAAGAATGTAAGTATCCGTAATTTCCCATATTTGCATGAATTTGAGGTACTGAACAAAATTTGAACATTTGTTGGAGTCAAACACTATTTTTAATTTGGTTTGTTTTTCTCATTAATTGACTTGACTTTATGTGATACAATGTGGAGTCCATTTTGATTTCTTAACTGGTGATTGTTTTAACTCTGAATGAATAGATCAGTTCTGTTTGATAGGCATGCACATGTGCGTGCTGTGCTTAGGTAAAGAAAATGTTTTGATGATGTTTCATAGTGTATTATTCTTGTCTGGATTAAAATCCAACAAAAGCCATCCTCAAAGTAGCAACTTAATGCTTAACTTAGGTAAGTGAATATCATCCTATGAGAGATGAGAATGAGACTCTTATTTTTTATGAATTTTCATGAAAATAATATTAATGTTCATCATAAGCTTGCAAGTTTTGCATGCTTGTCTCTTAGATCTGATTAGCTGAATAATTGCAGGTTATTAGATTATCTGCTGCCACTCAGGAATACACCGAGTCCATCATCTGTAATGTTCATGGTGTTAATCCTAGATTTCTTGAGATTGGTGAAAAAAAGAGGGAGCAACAACAGGAGGGTGTCAAGGCCTTTACCAAAGGTGCTTACTTTATTGGGAAGATGATATGGAGCAAAGGATATAGAGAATTGCTCCGCATTCTTCAAGATCATCAGCAAGAGTTATCTGAACTTGAGATTGATTTATTTGGCAGTGGAGAGGACTCAGAAGAAGTTCAGAAAGCTGCAGAAAAGTTGCAAATGGCAGTTAGAGTTTACCCAGGTTGTGATCATGCAGATCCTCTCTTTCATGAGTAAGTTCCCTACTGATCTGCATACATAATCACGTTTGACTTTCATTTTGTTTAAATATGTTAAATGTTTTACTTATTTGTAAGAAAACAGTGGTGCTTAATTTGGAAAGGAAAGAAGTAAACATTAATCTGCATTTTAATATTCAATTGGAATTAATTGATCAAATACTGAAACCATAACATTAAGTAAGTCACTTTAGGTTAAAAGACAGGAATCTCTCATTCAGATTTTCATACAGGGTAGTTTTCTGATCCTTATGAGCTCCTCCAAACCCTTTAGTCTTTTTATACAGGATTTGATGATAATTTCCTTCCAAAAAGAGAAATATGTTGAAATATAACAAGAAATATTGCACATTGTGAACATTAGTTTGCAAGTAAGAAAATCATTCTGTTATTTGTTAGCAACAGCCAATTTTGCCTCTGTCTTATCATACTTGTTTGTTCTCTTAGATATCAGTTTGTCACTTCTTCAGCTTTGCCCATATTAAGATTTATATAGTTTGAGCATTGCATAGATGTAACTATAAGCTGATAATATCTTAGTCTATGATATTTTGTCACCAATTTTGAGTATAAAAGTCAGGTTTCTTCTTTTTCACCATTTTGTTTTAAAATATTTTGTATAGTCTTTCTAATTATCCTATCTGAAATGAAATTCCTACTTAGAAAGTACTAAGGGAAACTTATTTATGCTAACACTCCACTTCATTTCCTGCATGCCAGTTACAAATTGTTTCTTAATCCAAGCACAACAGATGTGGTTTGCACAACAACAGCAGAGGCTTTAGCCATGGGTAAAATTGTTGTGTGCGCCAATCATCCCTCTAACGAGTTTTTCAAGCGTTTTTCAAATTGTTGGACATACGATAACAGTGATGAATTTGTTAAACTTACACTCAAGGCACTGGCTGAAGAGCCTGCACAGCCTACTAATGCTGAGAGACGTGAACTGTCTTGGGAGGCTGCGACAAATCGGTTTCTTAAGGCTGTTGGCATGGACAAACAATTAGATAAAAGGTTGTCAAGAAATTCTTCAGTCTTTATGGCTGCCTCATTAAATTTGCAGCAGACAGTCGATGAGGCTTCAGCATATGTGCATCATGTAGCTTCTGGGTTTGAGGTATCAAGAAGATTCTTTGGTGCTATTCCACATACCTTGCAGCCAGATGAAGAGCTACGCAAGGAACTTGGGTTGACTAATGCTACCACAAAATAAGAAAAAATGATGTTGTAATGCTGTAGAGATTGTTTGTATGTTTTGTCCCTAAAATGTTTGTTGCAAAATAGTCTCTTCCTAGTCATGGTGGAAAATGTTCGGTCTTTGGAACATATATATCTAGAGAAAGGCATCCCTGTAAGTGTAGCATTAGACATGCGTCCATTTATATTACACAGCTTCTATTAATCTAAGTGATATCAATTTATAAATTATTATGAATAATTTATTTCAGAGGAATATTTTTATCTTTTCTTAGTATTTGTTCTAAAAAATATAGATATTTTTTTATGTGATTTTCTCTATAAAAACTTAAATTTATAGAGGAAAAAGATAAAATGAATTTTCATTTAAAATCAAAGTGAATTTACATACAAGTTAAAAATAAAAGTTTTAATAAATTATATAAGAGAATTTCTAAAAAGTAGTTCATACATATATTTTGTTTTTAATTTTATCTTTTTAATATTATTAAGTGGTAGATACTTAAATGCACATATTTGTGTCTAATAATCTATGATGACAATAAATAAATAAATAATGTTAATAAGTATTACTAAAATTATAAAAAAATGTATATTTAAAAAACATCATAAACACTATTTTCTAATTTTAGTAATATTATAATTATATAATAGAAATATCCTCAATTTTTTATCAAATTATTAAAAAAGTTTAAAAAATACTATTTAAATATTTTTTATTTAAAAATTTATGGCTATAATTATATAATGAGATTACTTTTAATTTTTATTGAAAATATTTTTATCTAATAGAAATTAAAAATTTAGCTAATAAATATAAAAATACAAACAATAAATGAAGTAAAAAAATATAATTAGAAAATTCAATCTATTTAATATAATTATAAGATGAAATTACTTTTAGTTTTTATTAAAAATATTTTTATCTAATAAAAATTGAAAATTTAGCTAATAAGTATAAAATACAAACAAAAAATAAAAAAACAAATTTAATATATATATATATATATATATATTTTGTTGTTATCTCACCGAATGAAGAGCACAACCACCTAACATTATTCTCCACCGAATGAGATCAAAATAATAATGTATTATATATAGAGATAGACAGAGATAGATAGATAGCTTAATAAAAATATAGTAAATAGTCAAATTATCTTAGTCAGATATGAACAAGTGTATGATAAGTATTTTTAAATCAATTTTAACCTTCTTTTAACTCAAATAAAAAATGAAAATTAAATTCCGATAACATTTTTGTTTTAATTTTTAAATAAAAATTTATAATATATTATGAAACATTTTTAAATATTATGTTAATCTAAATATTATTTTCTATTTAAAATATATTCATAAACAATGCTTTCTAAACAATAATAAAATAATAATTATTAATATTTACACTTGAATGAGAGAGAAGTACTTCAATAAAAAGGTAACAACATTATTAACAATTTAAAGTGATATTTTTTAGTTTTATAATTTTTTATAATGCATATACAAAAATTTAGTGAATTTTTTTGAATATGGTAAAATCATCCATTTCCATTGCCTGTGTAACACACAGTAAAAAATAATAATAACTACATCCAAAATTACATAAAATATAAAATTGAGATTGAAATGCTTAAACTTCTGACATGCATGAGAGGGACAGAAATGAATAATAAAAATTAATGTATTGAAAATATATAATTGATTTCTCACTTATCATCAAAATCAGCTTAAAGGGGAAATAAATTAATTCAAGATGAAAAAAATTATAGTAGTAAATATACTAACTCAAATAAACAATAAGATGTTATAAGATAATTTAATTCACATTACATACCTAATAAATGCATTTAATTTAAAAACTTTCATATTAAGTATATGATAGATTTATTAAATTGTATAATATCTAGTTTAGAAATGACTTATTTAAGAACTTGTGATTGTTTGGTTGTGTGAAGATATCTCACATGAAAATTTGATTAGAAATATGTTCAATTTAACCTTGATTTTGGACACTTCAACCGCTGTAAGAACGTCGTCGTTTTATTAAACCAGCAACCTCAGATCGGACCTAACATTATTTAAACCAGCAACTGTTGTTTCCATAATTTGGTCTGGTTGTCACCTCAGAAACCCAGAAGCTATCAGCAAAACGACGAAACTACTTCCAACCCAGTTTCGAATTCATGCGCACAATCCCACCACCAAGTGCCGTTTGCAATTTGTGCAGTGTTTCATGCATTGAACACGTTATGGTCATTCCTCATTATGGAATGTATGACACGTACTCAAAACCAGCTTTACTCATTACCCCACTGTTGTTTTTACTTTGTTTGGACCATTGCATGTATAAATTTCCTACCTTTGGTATTATTTTCCTGTGGATTCTGCTGCTTGAGGCGCTGCAGCATAAAGGGGTTCCAAACTTATGTTTAATTCCTCATTCAATAGCTTCATAGATCCTCTGAGGTAAGCGCGCTGATTAATTGTTTTTCAGCACTATTTATTATTCCATCAACATATTCTTCTTGAATTTCAAGAGCCTTGCAACATGATTGTGTAATGGTGGATTTGATTTCTTTTATTTCATTTTCACTAGTTTTTCTGCCAGTTTCATTCATTTCCAGCTGATTTTTTTTTCTATTTAAATGGATTTTCTGTATTCAGTTTGATGTATCCGAATTCACCACAGAAATCAGTTTCGGTTGCCTTTGCTTGTGTTGGAAGAAAATATTTATAGTGAATTCAGTGTTCAAATCCATTTATCAATTTTTTTTTTATTCTTTGATAGGTGGAATAGCCCCCTTTTCTCATTATAGTTTGATTTGGCTGTTTGCTCTTCAAGCGTAGTGTACTTTAGATTAATTTAGGGTTATTACTGCGTTGTTTTCCCTACATTAGAGCTTTTTTTTTAGAAATGAAATTGATATGTTGCATGTACCATATTCTAACCACAAGTCTTAATTCTATGTTTGATGAACTAAGTTGTCATTTTCTTCTTTCTCAGTCTCTAGGTGTTACCCAGAAGATTAGTCATTCATCTAAGATCCCACCTTGTCTGGTTAGAGTAACTAAAATCATTCTTAAAACTTTGCTAATAACCTTAGTTATGCAGGTTAAGCCGTTTTTGCTTTTTACAAGAACAAATAATCTAATCTAGCAGGTGCTAGGTCCGAACACCAATTTTTTTTTATTGTTTGCTAGATTGATATTAATATCCACGAGTATTACATGCCAAATATTACAATGTGCTATTTTTTTTATTAATCCCAGGAAAAATCTGAGGTAAAAATTTTGATGGACCAAGTGCTAACCTTTATTCTTCAGGAAGCATATGCATAATAGTATGCATTTATATAGTAGTACTAATAACCACTAACAGAAGCTACACGTTTAAATTATAATCAACAAGTCACAAAAAAAAGATGTTTTAAAACCAAATATACTGAACTAGAATTGTTGCTAGTTTCCTCTGTGGCCGATATTGGATACATTATGAGAATACACACTTTTGTCTAGTTGTATGAGCTTTTATAATCTATTTTTTAATGGTTCATTTGCTTATTATTGGTCACAGAGGACGCCTCCCTATGGATAAGTAAACATAGGTGAATGCTATTTTTGTGCCAATTTGTTGAAATGTAAAGAGTTCCTTCATTTCTTTTCAATGAAAGACATTACTGAACCATCTTTGGAAGCCTTTACTTTTCTTCTTTAGGATAGGACTTGCATGTAGCAAATTATTATAGTTGTTTAAAAAATAGCAACTTTGAATTTGTGATTATTTTGTGACAGAAATTTGGACACAAGGGATGCATTTTGTTAAAGTGAGGAGCTGTTTTTGCTTTACCAATCTGCCTCATCATCTTAGAATATGAGAGCTTTCACTTCTTTCTGTTTATTGTTTAGTAGTTTTCTATGTGCATTACTAAGAGCAAGCTTAACAATTAGTTACTAAGAGCAAGCTTAACAATTAGCATGGTTGGTGCATGCCCTTGTATTTACTCTCTTTGTATGTAGTTTCTGACTTCGCAGTCTTGGCTAGAAATTATGAAATGTTAAAATTGTCATAGTTTGAGACTTTTTCACACTTTTTCCTGAATTTTTACTTCCCGGGGAAAATGAGAAAATTAGAAACTGGAATTTTATATATGTTCTTTATGGGAAAAATAGGGTTTATAAATTTTTAGTTGTACGAATATATTATTATCCCATCAATCTCTTCTTAATAGTTAACCACTTGTCTAACTGATTATTCCTAATATAAACTTGTTTCCAGATCCAGTGAATCTAACTTAATAACAATAAAGTAAAATTTCAAAAAAAATTTGTTACTATTCACTTATAGTTTTTCCTTATTTTTTTTTGTCAACCTTTTCTTATTAGGTTTTACAATGGTTTTAACTAGTGAGTGAACCCGGCTCACTGTTTATTTGAACTGGGTTGGTTTAGAAAATTTAGTTCTTTTAAACATGGGTCAAACTCAATCCAACATACTTAACCTATGAGTTAAAAGGTTTAAGTCAGGTTAGAAGTGGTGTAACCGATACTCTGCCACTAATAATCTTTATTATTTTTTTTATCATTTTTTTCATAACCTTTTTGTTATAATTATTTATTAGTTCTAATTATGTTGGTTGAAAATTTGATATTTTTGAAGACTACAATCTTGTTCAATATTGTTTGAATATTTTAGACGTTTTAATTCCAATTACAGATGTTATTTTAATTTGTAATTACCATTATTATAATAAAGTTCATGGAATAGATGGACACTTTTATTGTATTACTGCAAATAGAGGAGGATAGTCAATCTGCTTTTTTTTACTACAATAAATATAAGAAAATAAATTAGAAGATAAAACCATTCTTAACTGAGTAAAGCCATTAATCCAAGTAAGAGAAGACCATATTGGTATAGGCCTTTAAAAAACAACTATTAGGGATTTAAATTTGATAATACAGTTTGTTTTTGTTGTGTTGTAAAGCATTATTTGTTGTGGAAATTAAACAAACACAAACCTATTTTCTTTTTTTTCGTTCAAACTAATTTAACCAAAAATATTATTTTCATTTGACTCTAAATTATGTCCCTCCATTTATAACACGTTTAAACATAGTCCCTTACTGTGTAAATATATGAATGCATTATAGTTTTATCTCATTAGAAATCAACTCAGCAAGTGACGGGCTAGATATAGGTTGTTGATTAGTCACTATTTGGTATTAGCAATTCATTTGGTTTCATCTTCTTGAAAATGATCAATAGAATCAGCAACTGTGTCACATGCCAAATAAAGCATGCGGCATTATTATTATTTTTTGTTTTAATCACTTGACAAACTGTCATATCATGAGATGACTCATGAAAGATATCCTTTTTCATGGAGGAAGTGCTCCCAATTCAGTACAAGTATGGTGCATGCTTTTCTTTCAAAATTGTCAAAAATTTCTTAAGAAATGATATGTATCAGATTAAACCAGATGAACAGAAATGGAATAAAATGCTTGGTTTAATAGAATCATCCACAGCATAACTACGTAACCAGTATAAGGTTAGAAAATGAAGGTTTGAGACATAGAAGCAGTTGCTGAATAAGCTAATTGATCTTGAAATGGTTGTAGTTGCTTGTTAAAGGTCTTAAATGAATCTCCTTCACATAAATAAGTGAAAACAGGCTACTAATTTTGTTACCAATTTGTATGCGTTTCTATTTATCAAGTTCTTTGACTTCTTTATGGAAGAATAAGACTTTGATGATTTGATCTGTGAGGATAGCTAGTACATGCACTAAGGTTTTTTATATTTCTACAAAATTGAAAGAATGCAATTTGTGCTTGTAGTGTTACACGATTATGGATTTGGAGGATAGATTAAGTTCAACAGATCCACACAGGTTTGGCTGACAAAGCAACTGCAGAACCTGAAGTTGTTTCAAAAAAGGTAAGTTTTCTATTTTTTGTTGCGTTTTATTTTCTTTGTTTTTTTCTTTATCACTAACATAAAAATAAAAAAGAATAGTTATTTCCTAAGGCTCTACGAGCCAACCTATCTTTTATAGTAATGGCTTTTCAAGTTGTCTGACTTTGAATGCTTTAGACAAATCAAGCGTTGTCTAGTCTGGTTTCGCCTTTGTTTCATTTTATTTTCAGCAGTGATGTTTTTAGGTGAAAGGTAATTAAGGTATAAATCTGTCATGTGTTATTTGGTCTCTGTCCTCAAAGGCTCAAGGAGTTAGATTTTGCTCAAAGAAGAGTTATGGAATATTTAGTTTCTTTGAGTAAATGATAACTGATGTGTCATACAATACATACATATATATACAATATATACAACTATATATATATAATATATATATATGTATGTATGTATATTAATTATTCTTAGAAGTACTTTTGATTAAGGAGCCCAACCTATCATGCCACATCTTCATACTAAATTAACCCTGCCATAAATTCATTTAGAGATACAAAACGGAAAGATAGTTGGAGGTTTTGTTAAGCTATGATGTGTGTAGTAGTTTGTGAACTGTTTCTAGAAAAATGCTAGGATTTTCTATTGAAGGGTTAACGCTGTTGCGATTGTAAAGTGGGATTGGTCTTTGTTTCTGGCTACCTTGTTAATTCCCATTTGACGTGTTTATAAGTTTGTTATATTGATATTATTTTCCAAATGTAGTAAAGCATACAGACAATGGCCAAACCTGTCGGTATACTGATGGAGCGGTGTAGGATATATGAACTATAAATTTCTGTCATGTATGAAGTGTACTATTAAAACTATTTACCTCAAAAGTTCTAAATTCTAATGATTTGACTATAGTTTTTCTATGATTCCTCTACTCCAATTATGACTTTCATCCCTCTAACCAACCCTCTTTGTGTTTCCATGGCTATTTCCATACATGCTCAAAACCAATTATCCCTTCAACTTTTCAACAGTTGGTTTCGTTAGTTAAGGATTATTTTGGAGGGAGGGTAGTAACTTCAGGAACTAAATTGTCTTGGATCTTGTTATTTACCATTCTTGTCTTGTCATTTTGTACAGTGGACCCAAGGGTACTTATAACATTCAACTGGTCGCAGTTTTTACCAGTTTTTACCTACGTTAGATTGCTATATTTCTTCCGAAACTTGCATTCGATTTATTTATCTTATACTTCTACTTACGTTGATGGAAGTGTTTCCAATGCTTGTCTTGAATTTGAACAATCCATTTTGTTTCTTCTCTTGATTCTACAACTAAGATTATCTCATCTCACAAAAAGTATGCACCATAATACTTTCTTGGATTTGTCCACTAAGCATATCTAGAACCAAGACATTGACTCAAAGAAGGGATTAGACAATAATGCTTAATACAAAGAAAAATTCTCACACCACGCACCCGGTTTCTCTTTTCTATCTATCGTTTGCTTTACGAGTTCAGTTGTTTTCATGCTAGCAACAATGTTGACGATGATATCTTTATTGCATAATGCTTCATTACTTGCAAACAGTAATAAAACATGTCTAAAAATTTACAAAAGGGAGAAGAAAAAAATGAAATACGGAGAGAAAAAATGAGTGATGTTTTCAGAAGAAATTATGAAAGAGAGGAAGAGATTAAGAGTAGGAAAAAAGAGAGTAGGAATATAAGAAATTATATTCAGATTTTGAAAATTAAAAGGAGACACAAAAGCATATGTGATGGTACTTTTCTGCTCTGTAAATTAGAATCAGCTTTTCCAACTTTAATTATAAAATATATTTAAATTTTAAAGTTAGAGTTATCAATGATTCAACCAACTCTAAGAATAATATATAATTAATTTTTAAATTTTAGTTAATGTCAGCTAGACCAACTTTAACAATAAAATGAATTTAATTTTCACAATTAGTGAGTTAGTGTGCTACTCTAAAAAAATATTACACTTGTTTCTTATAAATTATAGTCACAATTTAGATTAGGTATAGGCGACTTTAACAAAAATATATTTCATCCATTCTCTATCAAAGTTCTATATATAGAGACGACTCTAAATATTTGGAAACTTAATAAAATGTATTCTTGTAGTAGAAGGTAACATAGTTGCATACTGATAATTAATAATGAGATCGGTTAGAATTTGATTGAATATACTCAAAATAATAATCTAGTAAATCTTATGTTAGAAGTGGATTTTAAGACATTTTACATGAAGAAAAAGATCATCTAGAGAAATAGATATTCAAGAACCACTAACTCATCCCCACAAAACCGGCTTGTATGGTGAGGTTTGCATCTCACTTATATATTATAATTTGACCTTATTCTAGTCGATGTGGGACTTCCAACACACCCCCTTCACGCCGAGGTATAGACATCTCGAGCGTGATAGTAGAAATGGGTGATCCGATAGTGGCTCGACAACGGGTGGAATAGAAATGCCTAAGAAATAAGAAATATGGCTAGAATAAGCTCTAACCATGGCTCTGATACCATGTTAGAAGTGAACTTTAAACCTAACTCAATCCCACAAAACCGACTTGTAAGGTGAGGTTTGCACTTCACTTGTATATTATAATTTGGCCTTATCTCTAGTCGATCCGGAACTTCCAACATCTTATATAAAGAAAAAGATCATATGGAGAAACAGATATTCAAGAACCACTATGAATATCCACTTATATGACTTTAGTACTCTTATCTTAGAAACTGATCATACTTGATATGAGTTCTAGTTTGTTTCATTCTTGTTCATACATATTTATGTGCAGAAAGAACTACCATTACGTTTGTTTTTTGGGAATGGTCCAAGAGTCCACAAGAAATTATGCATAGCATGGGGTGTGGCTGACAGACGCTGTGGACAATGTGGTAAAGTTGGACAGCTAGTCTGCTTTTCCCCAAACTTCCGAAAATGGGTATGTAAAACTTTCATGTGTTGTTCTATTATCCAACTAAATTACCATGAACAAAATTATTCGCAAAAGTATTATTTTTGACTATTTGTTGAGCTCGTTTTCGTTTTCCAGAATGATGACATTTTCATATGCATTTATGATTTTAGGCTTTAAGGAGAGTAACCGTTGAAGAGCTCAATCAAACTTGCAATAGATGTAATGAACGTGGACACCTCGATCCGGATTGTGATCTCTCTTTTACAACTCAAAAATCGGTACTAGAAGAATGAATTACATACATAGATTCTGTTTATGATTAAATAACATAACACAGAAAAGCATACATGAATAGTAAACTCATTAGTAAACAAGAGTTGTTGAAATGAATGCAGA